GGCGGTTCCGGTAGGAATGACGCACATACATTGAACAGACGGTAGGTGCTAACTGGATGTGTACAAGTCAGCATCAAAGAAACTGACGTAGGGTAGCGGGGTGTCTGGAAGCGTCCTAAGTTTCCCCACGCCATTTGTCTGGGTGATTTTCCTCTTTTTCGGCCTGCAGCCAGTCAGCAGGCAATACTATTTGTTGTGATCGGTCTTCTTCCTCAGGTCATCAGCATCAGTTGCCGATATTAGCTAGCAATTCGTCACTGATCGTTTCTGGAGATCGGTTGTTTGCATAGCTGCTGTCCATTGCCTGGTTATAGTTTTTTGCTTAGTTTTTTCCACTTCCATTATACTATTTTCTTCGCTTTTACGTTCCAAATTCAGCGCAAATTCTGTGCTATGGTACTACCACAAGCCAATTTATTGTCTCTGCGGCTCATTTTGTGTTAGAAATGTCTAATTAAGCATCGCGAGCGATTTTGTTTATTAAAGTCGGGATCATTATTGCTACGCAGCTATAATTCCAGAAAGATCTTCGCAAAGAAGCAAGAACCCGGTGCAACTACTGATTAGTAAACTCACAATGAGGATTGGTTTTATTGGTGCCGGTAAAATGGCGCAGGCCCTCTGCAGAGGTCTTATCAATTCCGGTAATTTTTGCCGTTCAGTGATGCGAATGAGTCCTGAGGTAAATATTGTAGTAACTTCACTTTGGTTAGATTTTCTCCCGTCATGGCGTAAATCCCTGTACCGTCAAGGATCCACATATACATGGCCACTGCGGTGTCTTGGATGTCAGAAAATGCCGCCGTAGGCTATGTCAAATTGCTTTTTATGCTATTTGCTCCTGTCCCTCTGCATCACGTGTGTGTCGCGTTTTTATAAACTTCTGCATCAAAATGAGAAACGGATTAAAATAATGATACCTGTCGTGATTGTAAGTGTGTACGTCTTCTATCTGTCAAATCATATATTTTAAATTTGGAACAAAAAATTACATTTTAACCGTCATACTAGCGAGATCCTGGTCGTTGTGCTGAGTTAAGGCGTATATGACTTAATGGGCCGAAGCATGTTATCTCATTCTTATCTCGTATTTTCATCTATCGTGCTTCCACTAGTTAGGCTTTCAGGATTGACCTGGTTGCTGCAGTCAACTTATATTTCAAATATAGAACCTTAGACGAATATGCCGATATTTTAAACATTACATCACTTTCCTTTTCACCACTTCCAAAATCTTCATTCGCCTTCGCCAAAGAGGCCATGCTGCATCTGGCGAAAGCATTCAAGTCTCCTACGCCTTACATCACGAATTGAAGGGCTGTAGTGATGACTAAAGTATGTATCCGTTCACCTCCCAACTGAACAGCACAGTTACTGCGAAAACGTTTTAGTGAGCACTGATGTTTATTTATTTTTTTATTGCACATTTTCCGTAGAAAAAAAATTGCTTCCTAAAGAAATCAACAAACGGCAGCGCTAACCCAGTAAAATTTCAGGGAAAATGAAACCTGAAAATATTATAGCAAGTTGTCCACGAAATGAAGAACTGGATCAAATCAAGGTTC